AAAAAAAAGGGGAAGAAGAAAGAAAGTTACAAGTTTCGGTGGGCGGAGTAGGTGGGTTTCTTAAAATTATAGAAACATCTCTTTAGTTTTAAAGAGTTTTACTTTGACCCTTATATTCTTTTAAACTTAATTTTAACCACTATTTTACTTGGTAAGTCGGAAGAATAGAAGTTTAGAAAATTTATGACAGCGTCGAAAACAGAAAGTTCCTTTTTCAAAGAAATTATACTTTAACCCCAAAATTTTAAAAATTATGATTTGACCTTAAAATTTTAGAAATTTTTTCTGAACAGCTCAAACTACTTCTATACACTATTACCTCATATTATAAAGGATATTTATCTATAAAGGATTAAGTATATATCAATGGGTAGAAAATATAAAAATTAACTATAAAATCGCGAAACGACGAAATTAAGAATAAGGATTGATTGTTATATATTATTTTGGATTAGGTGGTGATTGCATTGAGGTTGAGAAAAGAGAGTTTTGAATTGAATTTTTGTAAATAAATGTGAGTAATTTATTACTTCTTTTGGGAGAATTTTCTATATTAAATGTGTCGGTGCGTGTGTTTAAATTTTTCATATATATGATATAATGTGTTGATATTTTGGATTACAATTAAATGTTTTGCAATTGTGAACTGTTATAAATGTGAATTTTGAAAAATTTGTGGGATAATTTTATATCATTGTTTGGTGATAAAAGAAAAATTTTGTATGTATTGGGACTAAAACGACAGTTTTTGTGTGCGTGAAAAATCATGCTTTATAAGATGGGGACTAAGTTACCAAGTCTAAATGGTAAGGAGACTGTATATCGGTGTGATCTGTATAGGGATGTGCACATAGGGGTCAGTCAGTAGATTAGTGATGACAAGAGACGAAGTCAGTTACCAGACTAGTTGTAACAAGAGATGAGACTAGTTACCAGGCTAGTGGTAACAAGAGACAAGGCCAGTTACCAGACTAGTGATAACAAACATGATTTGACAAATATATTTGGGGTTGAATGTGCGTGTGAGTGTTTTGGGTTATAAATATCTTTTCATTTATAAAGTTATTTGTGAAAATGAATGGGTGTTTTGAGTTATAAATGTTTTTTCATTTATAAAGTTATTTGTTATCATGAGATCATTTTGTTTACATGATTATGTGAGAGGGGGTGGGGTTTAATTTGTTGTACTTATGTATTTGTCAAAGTTTATGTTTATATATAAACTGTGAGATTTATTTTCACACATCATTAAAGGTGGTTGCTATTCACGGGTCATTATGCTCATCCAAACATTTAACATTTTTTAGAACAGGATCAGGATGAAGCGTAAGTCTGCGGATAAACCATAGATTAGAAGAATTGCAGATTTATTTTATTGTAAGTCTTCATGAATAAATGTCTATATAGTTTTAAGATAAATATTCAATTATTTTGGGGACAATGTTGTCTATGCTTAGAGTAGTAAATTTTACGATTTAATTATTACTTTATATGAATTTAGTAATGATGTTAGTAATAATTAGTTTATTCTTCTAGTATTCATTAGATCAATAAAGTGTCACTTTATTATTTATCTTCTGTTGTATTTTGTATTTATTATGCACAGGGTTGATTGGTTAAGGCCTTGATAGCAGATCCGCCGCCTACCCTATGTGATCCAAGGTAGGGGTATAACACACTTGGGTAAGGATTTGAGTCTACACTATCCAGTTCCAGTCCAAAAAAAATTTTAAGAGCCTAGTTCAACCCGGTTCATGAACATCCTTACTCGTATGGGTCTAAGTCTAGGGGCTAGAACTCAGGTTTATGTTTGGGTTGAGTTGGGCCGGGTCAGGTTCGAGTTCATGTTTAAAATCCAAATCAAATCTAGGTTTAGGTTCCAGTTCGAATCGATATCAACTTGGAGGCCAAGTTCGTGTCGAAGTCCAGGTGATGGGTCTATTCCGAGCCCTAGTCAACTTTGCATCGGGGTCTAGTGTCGAGAGTGGGTCCTGATTCAGAATTTCGGTCCAAAGGTCTGGCTTGGTCTTGGTCATAGGCTCTGAGGTAAGGACATTAAAAAAAGTATATTATTTTAATCTCATTAAGAGTATTTTGATAATCTTTAATTTAATTTAATAAAAAGGTTGATTTATCTAAATATTTGAATGAATTTTTAATTTTATTCTAATACTTAATTCTAATTGTCATCAAACTTTAAAATAATATTATACATTCTATTCCATTCTCACACTCATTATATTCTCGCAACCATAATAACCCCCACATATTCTGATATAGCCTTGCCTAGAGATCATTGTAAAATGTAAATCATTCTCCTCTGTGTTGTGTTTTGTGTTTGGGGTTTGAATATTGATAGAAAAGCTTCTATATTTGCTAGTTTCAAATTCAGGGCTGAGACACTAAGATAAGTTTCATCAACTTCTGACTTTTCCTTCTTTTCTTTTTTTAATAGAAACGGTAGTAATTTTATTAATTTGAAATATTTGAGAGGAGAGAAGACACAATGAAATCGGGTGCCTCTTCCTGGCATACATAAAACATAAAACAAAACGGACATTTCTAACAAAGTTTTGTGCAACTTTATTTCTCATTCTATGCCCATTGGTTAACTAAAAATATCTAAAATTCAACTTGGTAAACTTGATGTCCAGTAGAATGGCACCTAGAGGCGAAAAATCTACATCAAAAGCATCAATGGACTTAATCACTGATATGCAGTCTCCTTCCTATATAATTTCATCGGATCCTTGTCTCTGAGCAAAAAAAGAGTGCTCACCTTGCCTATAACGAAGTTCAAGAAAAGTAAATATTATGCAATATTTTTCTTATTCTAACTTTTTTCTTTCTTTCTATAGTCACTAAAGACTTCTTTAGTATATTTAGTAAGAGAAATGAAAAATAAGAGAAATAAAAAAATAGAGGGAATAAGTTTTCCACTATTAATAGAAAAAATATATTTTTTCTCCTTGCTTGGTAGAAATGATAAAAAAAGTAGAATGAATGTATTTTATTTTAGTTTATTAAGAGAATTACACTCAGACTTGTTGAAATTTGTCACTTAAATTACACAGATCTACTAACGTTTGAAATATTATACACAGACCCCCAGAGATTCGTACGCGCGCAATACTTAAACCCCTGCTTTCAATATCCATTAGTATATCTGTAAATTAATTATATCTAGACCCCCTAAAGTTTATAAGTGTATAATATTTAAACCCCTCAAGTTTAAAATATTATATTTAGACTAAAATACTCTGATCAAAAATAAAATATTAATTATTTTAAATTTTACAACCAAAATTTATGTTCTATTATGATATTTATTGAAATAAAATTTTAATTTTTCTTAAAAAATCATAATTAATATATAATTATACTATTTATTAAAATTTAATTTGGTTTTCTGAACGACGAAATTATAGTATAATTGTATGCTAATTACGATTTTTTAAGAAAAACTTGACATTTTATTTTTTATTTTATTTCAATAAATGATACAATATAATAAAAATTTTGATTTTAAAATATAAAATATTTGATATTCTATCTTTGATTAGAGTATTTTTTATTTTAATATAATATTTTAAATTTAAGGAATATATATATTATACGCCTACAAACATCAATGTGTTTGAGTATAATTTAGTAACAAATATATTAATGAATAATTGATGATATAATCTAAGTGTTACGCACATATAAATCTCAAGGAGTTTGTGTGTAATATTTTAAATGGTAAGGGATTTGAATGATCAAGTGGAAAACTTTAGTAGGTCTAGAGTAATTCATGTATTTATTTGGCATGAAAAATAAAATCATAAAGTAATATTATATGTTGAATACCGTAACTACCCTTAAGTTAGTAAAAAGGAGATGGCATATAGATCCCACCAAAGATTGCCCGTCCGTTGGAGATAACAAAGTGCCATGGACCCACATGAATTTCTTTTTCAAACCATGATCAACAAGCAGCCACTAGGAGTGCAAAAGAATAAATTTATCAGTTGTAATGATTAGTTCACTTTCTCTTTCCAATTTTTCGCCTGAAATCATTAGATTTGGTGGACGGGACGGAATGCACTTTTCCTTTCCATTTTTACTTTTTTCTTTTTAACCAAACAAAGGAAAATACTACTTTCCCTCTTTTCCATGTACCCGTTTTCCTCCGTATTAAACAGAGGCTAAGTTCCTTTGGGAGAAAAGCCAAGTTGCCAAGTGGTGAAGTTTCGCTGGATCAGCTCGCTTTTTGAGTGGTTAACCCGAAAACAAACCCAATTCAATCAAAAATATACAAATCTCAAAATATAAACAAAATGACTTTTATTATTCGTAATTGAAATTATTTTAAATTTATTCTAACATTTAATATTAACACCTTTAATTTAATAGTAAAAATAGATCCCTAATGGTGTATTTTGAGTGATTTTTTAAAAATACTTTTACAAATTATTTTTTATAAATATTTTTTTTAAAAATAATGTTTGAAACCGCTATACCACTACCACTACCACCACCACCACCGCCGTCATCACCACTGCCACGCCCATCACCACCATCGCCACTGCCACCCCGCCACCACCATTATCGCTGTTGTCGCCACCACCACCACCACCATCATCACTATCGCCATCACCATTGACGCCACTCTCGCCGTCACCACGGTCATTGCCACCCACCACCACCACCACTATCGTCACTTCCGCCACCACTATTGTCGTCGCTCTCGCCGCCACCACGGTCATTGCCACACACCACAACCATCACCGTCTCTTATCACCACCATTGTTATCCACTACAATCGATATTTAAATTTTTTTTATCTTTTCTTTATGTTTGTGATTTGATTTTTAAATATGAATATAAATATATTTTTTATTTTTTATTACTTTGTGCCTTGAGGCACAGACAATAATTAGTATTCAATATTTGAGTAAAGACTTTTAATACTCGAGTTAAACGTGTTGGCCCTCGTCATGGAGAAGATGTGATTCCAATCAGCCATTTGGCATGTAATCATATACCAACAACTTTATATCACCTTCAGAGCAAAACCCACGAAGCCGTACAAGATTGACATGCTGGACTGCCCCAATTGTGCTAACTTCTGTCCGAAACTGCTTCGCTCCTTGGCTGATGCTTTCAAGCCTCTTCACAGCGGTGACGGTTGAATCAGGCAATGTTCCCTTGAAAACAGAGCCAAAACCTCCTCCGCCCAATTTTTCTGAGAAATTTTTGGTCGCATTTTGCAAATCCTTGTAGCCGAAAGCCGCCAATGAACCCTCACCTGCCTTTGACCAATCTCCTTCGCCATCTCCGAATTGCAACCCACACAAGGATTAAGGCCACGAGTAGAACTACAACTGAACCCACATCTGCACCTATAATAATCCACATTTTGTTTTTACTACTAGGAAACTCTGAGGCATTAAGTTTGATATAGATTGTTTTCCCACTACCATCACCTTGTGGAAGTTGTTGCAGATTCAAGAGGTCTAAAACCCAGATTGAACACCCACTGCTGTCGTAAGCATAGGTAGTGCAAGAGCAGTTGTTCAAACAGGTGGATTCACATTCAGCAGCACCACGAACTGCCACTGGTTGAGAATATTGGGGCAAAACCATTTGATTTTGCACCCAAAAGCTCTCTCTCTTCCCATTACCTGCACTTGTATTCCCGCATTGCAGGCCAGTTTCTCTCACACACCCACCGGAATAATCAATCAGGTTCCAATCATTATCCGATCTAGGCGTGAAACCCTTCGCACAATAACAAAAGGGCAGTGAATTCTAAACACAGGTACCAAAAGCCCCACAAAAAACATAAATGATGCAGGGGGATCCGAGTCCGATGATGCTGAATTATCAGATGACACGTTGATGGTTTTGAGACACCTTGAGTTAGCAGATTAACACAATTAAAATTCCAAGTTTAAGAAGGGCTAACACTGTTTTTTTTTATCCGTTTGGAGTTTTAAGGCCCATAATATATCAAATCGAAACTTTCGACGAGTCCTACAAGACTTATAGCCTATGGCAGTGAGAGGCACTGTTTAAAGCCAAAAAAGGCCTGAAAACGTATGTTTGGGCCTTCCGAAATTTTTTTCTATTTTTGAGTTTATTTTGATTTTTTCGTAATTTAATTATTTTCTTGCGTAATTAGGATTTTCAATTTATTGTTTAGTATTTAAAGGATGTTTTCATGCGTTTTAGGGTTAACTATCATTATTCTAATTTTATAAAGATTGTGACTGCTTAGTCAGTTCTTTTTGGGCGATTCTCTTGTATTCTTCTCTGTGAATTATTTGTTGAATTCTGTCCGGCTTCAATAAACCTCGCATTGTTGTCTTGTTTGAGACCAAAACAAATTCTACGAAACGGAAGTGGGCAACCCATGCGAGTTGCTTGACTTGCCCCGAAACATCCATGATAAATCTATATAGTTTGAGGATTATTCAGAGAATAAGTAAAATAACTCTCATTCTCATTGTCTACATAGCTAAAGTTGTAGATATAATTCAACCTCATTTCGGGTACTAGCCGAAAATTTGCCCATTCCAACGCCCACTAGTCCAGTACTATTCAGTTCTATTCCTCGTTATAAGATACTAAATGCCATTTGGGTCTAACTCCAAAGAAAACGATCCTGGTGCAGGATCTTCTTGGTTCTTCCATGAAGTAAGAAGTTACTTTGTGTTCGTTTATTATATGCAATCTTCATACCAAGCAACCATGTATCAGTTGGGTAATCAAAACTCTACCAAATTGGTTCTGATGGATTTGGGGTTTCTCTCAAAACTAAATTCCTATCATTAAGAAGAACAGCTACTGAAGAATTTGAGGTGGTGGAGTTCAAATTAGTGGACCAAATTGGTGCTCCAAACACATTGAGAACCAAATTGGTGCTCCAGACTCATTGAGAAGCACCAAGTTACCATGTAAAATTGTGAGTTCTGAAGAGAACTTATCAGAGATGGGTCTATCTTGATTGGCTACCCAAACTCTTGTTTGGAGAGAGATTTTTTTGTACCACTTGCCTATGCAGATATGGAGTCAGCTCCATAGGTGAGATGGGTGTTGAGAAAGAAACAAAGGAAGAACACTGATATCATGAAACATGAACTGTTTTTGATATTCATTCTTGCACAAGGTTTGTGCAGATGGGAAGAGAGAGAGATTGCTTAGATCATTTTCGAAAAATTCTGTGTGTGTGTGAGGGGGAGAGAGAGATTGCTCAGATCGATTTGAAGAATTGTGTGAACGTGAAACTCAGTTAATGACAGAAGAAGCTAAATGGAATAGATAAGCATTTATAGGTCCAACTGCAGTTACAAAAATTATTTTTCCATGGCATGCCTGTTTTTTCTAATTAATACATAATATGTATAATGTTTACTATCTTATGATCAATGATTATATTTAAATTCAAAATGGATAAATGGGCTAAAATCATTTTCTATTACCAAGACGATCAATTACCTCAAATCATTTTTTTTTAATATCTTGCATGTATAAAAAAAGGGTGCATAATCACATGTAAGAAAATCAAATAATTCTTGAGTGAAATTTCGTACACTTTGTTCAAAAAAACAATGATGAAAGTCATAAAATGTACATAAACTCATCAAAATAGATCACTTAATAATATTAGGCTTATCTTATTAAACCATAAATTCAGTTCGTGTTTCACAAACTAAAAATTAACTATCAACTAATAAAAATCCAATATAAGAAAAATTCCAACATTCTTCTACTTACACGACATTAATTGTAGTCATTTAAAAATGAATAAATAAATAAATATATATATATTTGAAAAATGACTTTCAAGCTAATCAAACAAAACTCAATGTGACCACAATAAAATAATATGGTCCTGAGACAACATTTCAAACACGACCCGGTCCAATAAAACTACTATTTTCGAAACATAATAGTCTTTACATCTGTTATTGAGATAGTACCAATCCATGATTACAAAAAATTATAATTCTATTGACATGGATTAAGATCAAGATGTGATAGTATAACAAGAAAATAACATCTTAATATGTGATCTGATAAACATGTTATTTTTATTATCGGTCCTTCAAATGATTTTTCTTTAACAACATGTTTCAACAATAAGTTAGAGAAATCCATTAGATTCAACAATAAGCTAGTATGTTTTTAAACTTAAAATCACAAGATTTTTTCAAATGGTGTAATCAGAGACATACTCAATTGACAAAACAATCATACTTAAGACATACATCAAATCTTAAGATTTTGTATAAAATGACATGTCATAAATGCGTACACATAAACATTGCAAGAATATCATGCTAACAATAAAGATAATTATCAAAATATTTATTATTCATCAAATAGATATATCATTCATATTGAGTATCAATTATCACATATGGAATTAAATCAATATTAAAGTTCTTAACACATAAATAAACTCTTTCTAACCAAGTACAACAAAAGACCCTAAAATGCTCATGTTGTCAACATGTTTCTAAAAGTTACAGGTCTCAATCCCTTGGTTAAAGGATCAGCAAGCGTGATGATTCTGTATCAATATGTTTAATCACAATGTCACATTTCTTCACAAGATCCCTAGTAAAAAATATTTAATTTCCATATGTTTACACTATTATCATAATAAATTATTAGTGGTCTAGAGATGGAATCAACAATCATAAGTCTTGAAATAAAATTTTTTAGCTATATAGTTAGTGTTGCAGCTCTGTAACAAACTACAAATTCAGCTTGAATAGTGGAAGAAACTGTGAGAGTTTGTGTTAACACTCTTCCATATTATTGCTCCTCCAGCTAACATGAAAATATATCCTGAAATGGATTTTAAATCATTCGGACACCCAGCAAAATTTGAATTTGAATAACTAATCACCTCAAGACTATCAACTTTCCTACAAACAAAGTATATATTTTTTTTGTTTTTTACAAGTATCTCATAACTTTCTTAACTGACATTCAATGATCTAATCCTGGTATAGAAATATATCTACCAGAACACTAACTGCAAAAGCAATGTTAGGCCTTGTAAAACCTGGCATACATTAACTGCTTCATATAGTACACTCGCATAAAGGTATATTCTTTATATACTCCTC